GGTGACGCGCGGTGCCGCAGTGGTGACGCGGCGCTCCGGAGGCGGCGGCCGCCTGCCAGGGTCCGGGCGGCCCCCAGGACCGCGCAGCCGGGACGCGCTCGGCGCCCTCTGCGGCGGAGCTGGCAGACGCTGGGGTGAGTCCGTGCGCGGGGCCGCGTGGGAGCGTTTACCTCTGCTCCGTCTCTCGTGGGAGAAAAGGAAAAACTTAAAGAAAAAGAGAAAAGAGCGACCAGCAGATGGCATAATGGCTATGTCGCTGGACTCCCATGTAGTGGACCGCCGTTCGAATCCCAGACCTGGTGACTTGCTTTCTCATTTTCTCTCTCACTCTGTCCTTCTCTGGTCAAATTTAAATAAATAAAGTTAAAATAATTAAGAAAGTTAAATTAAATACTTATTTAAAAGCAAGGAAAAATATTTCTCCACAGTCATTTAAAAAGGTAAGTTTTGGGAGGCTGGCAGGTGGCATGGTGGTTAGGGATGCTGGATTCTCACATGCCCAAGCACAGTTCAACTCCTAGACCTGGTGGCTTGCTTTCTCATCCCCCCCCTCACTTTGTCAAACCTCTTGGTCAAATTCAAACAAACAAAGAAGTTAAATTTTTTTTTTTTAAGTAAGTTTTGGGCCAGCTCCTTGGCCCGAGTGGTTAAGGGAACCAGGTCCAGGTCCCACATGGCCAACCACGGTTTGAATCCCAGCCCAGTGACTTGAAAAACATGCTGGGCATGTGCATGCATGCTCGGAATCCTGGAAGGGTGGCAAGATGGAGAAGGGGTTGTGGCGTGACCACACCCACCACGGTGCTTTCTCTCACTTGCTCCGTCTTTCTCTCCAGCGAGCACACACCCTCTGCCAAATAACAATAAAAAGGTAAGTTTTATGACTACTTACTGACAAATGATGTTCTTTTTTTTTAAATAAGTATTTTATTCATTGTCGTTTTATTTGATTTTCTTGAAGTTGACCAGAGAGAGACAGAGAAAGAAGGAAAGTGAGAAAGCAAGCAGCCAGGTCTGAGACTCAAACCGTAGTCAGCCACGTGGGAGTCCAGCCGCCCTAACCACCATGCCATCTGCCGGCCCGGACAAATTTTTTTTTTTTTTTGAGAGATTTTCACTGTAGGGCGCGTGCGCTCGCCAGACAGACAGAGACATAGAGATAGAAAGCGAGAAATCACCCCCCAGGGGGGATGGTCACGCCACAATCCCTTCTCCTCCATTCTCCTCTCGGGATCTTGGGCACGTACGCACACGTGCCCGGCGTGAGTTTTAAGCCACCGGGTCCGGGACACGAACCGCGGTCGACTACGTGGGAGTCCAGCGACATAGCCATTACGCTAACTGCTGGTTCCCAACAAATGATGTTCTTGAAACCAGGTTCAGACAAGCTGGTCTGGTGTGATCCCACTGTAAAACCCAGTGCGGGAATCTCGGGTCACTGTGTGTCACCGGTCCTCTGGGTGGCCCGATCGTGGTCAGGTTTTCCCATCTGCTGAGCAGCATCTCATCGTTTTCCAGATGGAACCGGTACTTGTAATAGCAGTGGCTCCATTGTCAGTCTGTCAGAGGTTGGGCTCACACATACAGCTCGTGTCCCCAGGGGGAGCCCTGTCACCGTTCTCACAAAGGGGAAAGGAGGCTGTCTACACACGGGGAGCCAAGGCCACACCCGCCCAGCACTGACTCTGCATAGGCCGCTGCCCTTGGGTTTGCTGCAGGCCCACACTCCTGGGGCACAACAGTCACATCCCCCCACACCCTTGCTGGACCCGATTCAGGGTGTCAGGGACCAGCCTTACTCCCACCCCACTGCCCTGGCCACGCTCAGCCATTCAGCTCACCCAGGCGAGGCGACCCTTGTCCCTGCTCTCCAAAACACCAGGGCCGCAGGAAGTGCTGACGTACTGATAGTCACAGTGCTGGCAGAGTCGGGGGCCCTTCCGACTACCCCTCCCTCGACCAGACTGTCCCAAAGCCTCCTCCCCAAGGCTGCGAGTCCCCGCAGCCCAGCACTGCTAAGACACTATGCTCTGCAGACGGAGTCCGCACGGGAGGCCGGGGGTTCTGCTCCCACCTGAAGGCTGAGCACAGCAGGTAGAATCAGTGAAGGGGAGGCTGGCCTGGGAGACAGGGAGACCCTGCCTGAGAAAGCCTGTTGAGGTGGCACGGACTAGCTGGGAGGCTGAAGAGTTAGTGACAGCCAGACCCTATCTAAAAAGAAACAGTGGGGACAACTGCCTTTGCCCGAAGTGACTTCTAGGATTAGGCTGTTTGGGGTTGGCTCGTTTTTATTAAAGAAAATAATTTTCATTTTGTCTTGTTTTGCTATAGGGCATGTGTGCACTTGGGGGAGGAGGTTGGAGGTTGGGAAGGTGGGAGAGAGGGCTGAGAAGGTGGGCAGGAAGCAGCCCTCGGGGATGACCACGACACAATCTCTTCTCAGTTTTTTGTTTTTGAGAGGTTTTTGTCTTAGGGCATGTGTGCTTGTGTTGGAGGGCATGATGGAGACAGCGAAAGGGGACAGTTGAGAAATCGCCCTGGGGGTGGCCGAGCTGCAGCCCCTCCTCCACTCTCCTCCGGGGTCTCAGGCACGCACAGGCGCCCGCCGAGCTGCAATCCCTCCACCCTCCTCCGGGGTCTCAGGCACGCACAGGCGCCCGCCGAGCCCACCCGCCCCCCCTCCCCCCTCCTCCGGCGTCTCAGGCATGCACAGGCGGCCGCTGAGCTGCAATCCCTCCACTCTCCTCTGGGGTCTCAGGCATGCACAGGTGCCCGCCGAGCTGCAATCCCTCCACTCTCCTCCGGGGTCTCAGGCATGCACAGGCGCCCTCCAAGCTGCAATCCCTCCACTCTCCTCCGGGGTCTCAGGCATGCACAGGCGCTGGGCGTGATCTTGCAGCCACCAGTCCCAGACTCGAACCGCAGTTGGCCACGTGGGAGTCCCGCAATGTAACCGTCATGCCATTTGTTGGACCCTACAATCCCTTCTCGTCCATTCTCCTTTGGAGATTTTGGGGAGGACACATATGCACCTGGTGTATGTTTCAAGCTACTGGGGCTGGGGCTCAAACTGCACTTGGCCACGCAGAATCCAGGTCCTTAACCACCGGGCCCCAGGGCCAGCCACCATAATTTCCAAATATTCTACTAGGTCTACAGTATTCAGAGTTAAAGCAACTCCTGTCTCAATGGGATAGCTGATAAAATTTTTCCCTGTTATAGACTGCAAAATAAAAGCAAGTTAAACAACAGGTATGGAACTTCCTTAAAATGCTGCAAAACCGTATTATTTCTTTTTAAAGATAAAATTCATTGTGGTATAAAGTACATACTGAAGATCACACAGTTGAAGACCATGTTCCTGGCGTCCCTGAAGTGACCTTGACAGGGTTCAGTGACAGGGTGTTGGGCCTGGGCGTGCCTCCTGCAGTCTTCTACAGGACGGAGCCTGGGGCCTCCTCACTGAGCCCCACCCTGCCTGCGCAAGGCCACTCCCAGCCCTTCCCCAGGCCATATAGGAGGCCCCAGGCAGGCCACAGGGGACCAGGCCCTGGTGCCAGGCTGGTGGAGAGCGACTCGTTGGTAATGGAGGAGGCACTGCAGCAACAGGAGAGGCCGAGGGTCCACCCTGCAGGAGGGGAGCCTTCCTCTGGTTCCAGAACTGTCGGCCCAAGTGTGGACTGGAGTCAGGCCTGTGGCTGCAGCCTGTGGTGGGGGGAGTGCTGGATTTTAAGCCCCTTTGCAGGAAGAAGATGAAATGAAAAGACGACCCACAGGAAACTCCGTGTGGGAACTCACACGTTTATTACAGCTACAGTTACCTTCAGCTGTCACCCTGGATGCCCACCATCAGGGACAACTCCCTGGCTGGGACATTCATACCCTGTGGCTCTGAGAGGCACAACCCAAGCTGGACAGTCGAGGCTAGAGCACATTCCCATGGAGGAAGGTTCCAGAGGCTCTGTGCTGGGATACATCCTTTAGCCCCCATGAGCAGAGGCAGGGTCACGTGTCCTATGTCAGACCACGCCATCATAGCACCGTTCGGCCCTCCACCGTCCCCTGGGTCCCAGCGGGGCTGCCAGTCTGGCCTGCAACACCCCTACGAAGGCACAGAGCCCCATCTGAAAACAGTCCCGGGTAGCTTCAGCGGCCTGTAAAGCAGGTCACAGAATGGCAGGAGACATTCCTTTGGCAAAAAAGGTCACGCTCTTGTCCTGTATCTTGTACTGGAAGGTGAGGCTGCGACCCCGCTGGGCCGTGGGCTGGGATGCCCTCCACAGGATCCTCAGCTGCACAAACAGAGAGGGGTGTCGGGGAGCAACCTCCCAAGAGTGGGCACTGTGAACCCCACTCGGCCTGCCCCTCACCCTCGAGAGAGGCCCCCAAGAGATGGCAGCCAGGCGTTTACACAAAAAGGGACCAACATCTAAAAGAGAGCCTATGACTGGCTAACTGAAAACAAAGGTCTCCCATTACAACAGTCACATTTTCTCATAGAGAACATGGGGCCAGCCCGAGGCCTGGTGGTTAAGGTGGCTGGATCCCACGTGGCCAGCTGCGCTGAGAGAGCCAGACCCAGCAGTTGGAGAAACACGCCAGGCACGTGTGCGTGCGTGCCCGCCCAAAATCCTGAAAGGGAGGAAGAGGGATTGCAGCCTGACTGTGACCTGCGGGCCTATGTTTTCTTGCTTTCCCTCTTATGTGATGTGCTCCCTGGCAAATTGGGAGAAGAGAGAGAGACAAGGAAAAGAAAATGGTCCCCACAGCAATATGGTCGTTTCATGTGCTTCCTGTCAGTCCTCTCTCCCTGCCTGGGTTAGTGCTTAGCTAGACCAGCAAATCAGCACTCCGGGATTTGCACCCAGCCTCCTCCCCTGCAGGCTCCCGCCGCAGTGCCCCAGACTGCTGCTGAGGGGCAGACAGGCAGCAGCAGTCCTGGTGCATGGGCACGGCGCCCTACGTGGTTGGTTTTTTATTTAAGTCATTGGGGAAGGGTACCCCTGACTGGGTCACGTCACGCTGCAGTCCCCTCCCACCCAGCCAGGATCACACGTGGGTGGGTGTACCCAGTGTGTTCAGGCTGACCTGGGACCTGAACCCAGGCCTCCCCTATGGCTCCAGGCTCACACAGCTGGGCCACCCTGCCTTTCTTTCCAAAGAGACAGTTGACCCGAATGTACGAAACCACCTGCAGTGCTGGGGGGGCCACTGTTGTTGGGTGCCGTCCCCCCTTAGAGGGCTCTGCTGTGGTTGTGATGGGACCACCCGGTCTGTTCTAAGCAGCACCCGGAGCAGGTCTCTGACCGGATTCTCCCAACCAGATAGCCCACTGGCTCCACGCTGTCCCCCATGGGCACAGGAGCAAGTGTGGCCTAGCAGCCCCGGGTCCCAGCCCCCACGTACCTGCCCATGCACGTCCTTGCAGAAGCCGGTGGCCAGGCCCTCAGCCCGCAGGACTAGGTGGCTCTGATGGCTGAGGCCATTCAGC